CCTCCCGTACGGGTGATGACCCCGCGCCGGGCCTTCGCCCCAAGTTCCGGTTTCTTCTGGTTTCTCGTAAGCGGTCCGCTCCTCTGTCGCGATTTAAGGCCGCCACAGCGCGGGCTTGATTTCCGTGCTGTTTGTGCACCGCGGTACGGGAGGCAGAAGTGCTGAGGGATGTGGTGTCCGAAGGTCGGTTGCAAATGTGGGTGCTTCTCCTGGTGCCCGCAGGAGTCTCTCTTGTAGAACGTGAATATTTGCATTAGATACCGTTTACTTTTTTTGGAGGCTGTTTGTTGTATAGTGTCCCGATTCCTCCCCCCATTTACTCCTTGATGTCTGGAATCGGAGGGAAGACTTTATCCGGATTCGGTCTGAAATTATGTCTGTGCTAGACTGTGAGGCAGGCAGTGTGCTAACCAACCTCAACAAGTCATTGGTGATTTAAAAAAAAAAAAAACAACAAAACACAACGGTTTATCTATTATTTATTGACCATCCATAGCTTTTATTTGTCATTTACACTGTCTTACGTTTGACTTATTTGAGGTCTTTATGTTCCTTTAAAGTACCATGAAGAATGTTTGGAGTTCAGTTTTGGTTTCTTACTAGCTTGATGCATACATAACTTTCTTTAAATGCTTTGTCATAGTTGTGTGAGGCACGCTTTTCAAGTTACTACTTGCTTCAGTGAACCGCAAGGTAATACTGCAGTAGGTAGCATCCGGGAGTTATAGCAAAACAGATAAAAACTACTCAAATCAGACTACGTACGTGACACGGTATGTACGTCAGTCTGTGTCAGTGACTGAATTCACAGCTGCCTCTCACAGAAGTGCGTCTGTGTCACTTCAGCCCTTACGGGGTCTCCCATAGTCATTGGCGGACTTGCTGCAAAGCTGATATGTCGGAAAAAATAACATAATACAGTCCAATAAATGTGACTTCAGAGCTGCTTCTCCCAGCCTTTCAATGCTGAGGCTTCGCACAGAGTGCCGGTTCGGTGTGCGCTCGCTTAGCTGCTTCAGAGTTGTTCAGGTGACTTCAGTGGGGTCGCTTCACGCGGAAGCACTGCGGGTGTTACGTGGTAGCATGCCTCAGGAAGCGAACTTGCGAGGATGACCTGCTCTGGGTAAACTTGTCTGGAGGAGGAGTTGCAGGCGCTGGAGTCGTGCGTTCTGGGGCTGGGATCCGATGTTGAAAAGGTGACTGACTCTTAGTGCTGACCGATCCTCCTGATGGTAGGATGAGGTTTCCGTGAGAGCTGAAGAAATCTGGATGGCCCACTACATTGGTAACCGTTTGGGCCGGGACCCGTGCAGAGGGACACCCGACATGTGTGCCAGAGCTGCCGAAGTGGGTGCCAGCGGTGCTGCTGCACTTCGCCGCTCTTGTCGTAGTTATCGGGCCGCTGCTAGTGCCAGTGTGAGTGCGCGTGAAACGGGGCTGAGTAATTAATCGGCGGGGAGGGGGCGGGCAGGGTAAGGCAAACACCAAGTTAGTGTCTTGACTGGATCCTTTCATCCACTAGTGTAAGGGAAGGGGTGGGAACACGCGGTGTGCTCCTTGCGCTGGAATTGGCCACCGTGGAGCTGCACCCTTACGTGTTCAGTCTAGCGGTGATAGTCTGCCTCCAGAAGCCTTCCTGTGCCTCCATGCACGCTCATCTGGTGTTGTCTTCAACCGCTGTGTAACCCCAGACTGGTTATTGACAGCTCAGGATTTGTTGGATCCTAAAAAGCAACTAGAACACATTTATCCTCAGCTATACTGGGTGGAGCAGTCCGGGCAGGTTTTTCTTCAGGAGTTACTGGTGCTTTCCCTAGCACCAGTATGCCAAGTAGTATTTTGCTGTTTGAAATAATTTTAGTGTGTCTTTATATCTGGCTTTTCTTCTCCCTCTGAGCTAGTGAAAGACTACAAGGCAAACAGTCATTTTTAAAATTTCGTTTTTAAATGCTGCTGTTCTGGAATTTAATCTCAGAAAGCAGGAGCATATTTGAAAACTTTCTTCAGGCAAGAATTTTTGATTCTTACCATCTCTTTGTGTTTTGTACAAAAGTGTTCAACCTGGCTCTCAATTATTTTTTTTTCCTTCTCCTTTTTTTTTTTTTTTTATTTAATCAAATGAGACTTGGGGGGGCGGCGTTATTTTTTTCACATCAGTAATATTCAGCCAGTGGCTCTCTGGTTCCTTACATGATTTGCAGTGAAAAACGTTGGCAGTAGAAACTTCCAGTTTTGTAGTATTGTATAAAATGAGAGCTTGTTTGTCAAGCACAGAGAGGCTGTTGGCGACTCATCGTCGCAGAGGAGTAGAGACTGAAACCAGAGAGTTGTGAACATGTGCATTAATTCTGTGTTGATGCTGATATCAAGCAGCTTGTTAATGTACAGACTGAAATAAGATGAGTATCACTTCTGTATTTGTGCCCCCTGAACAAGGTGGAGGAAGATTAGGTTTTCTTTTGATAACTGTAAAAATAGGACACGACCTTCCAAGGAGGAAATCGAAGTGGTGACATGGCAGTGTTTAGTTCTGACATTGCTCCTGCAAAATTACCTTTGAAATAAATGGGTAATTAGGTTAGAATTGCGTACGGTTACAAAACGTAGCATGTTTCCCCAGGAAGATGATCTCTGGGGGGATGTGACCTGACAGTTCCAAGTGGCACTGCTGCTGAAGTGCACGGGACAGATGTCTGCTTCGCCATACCCGATCTCACGTCAGGGTCTGTAGAGGATGGATGGAGTCCCCTCCCACGGGCATTGTTCCACCTCTTTCTTTTCGCTGGTTACAGGGAGGACTTCAGCTTGCAGGTGTAAACTGGTTGCTTAAGTTACGCTGCAGAAGGTGGTCATTTTGCTTTTGCCAGTCGTCAGAGTTGCACTGACTCTGAGCTGTGCAAGCTGCTTCACCTGCTCAGTATAAAATCTTAAACCAAAAGCAGGCAGTCTGATGAAGACAAAAAATCAATCAATAAAGTTGTTGAGAGTAGGTACATCCATGGATAAATGCGCATGTATTTCGGATGCCAGCAATCCGGTGAACTTGTAAATAGTGGTGTGCATCTAAATTCTTGTAAACAGTGAGTATATGCATGCTGCTGCTCTTAGACAGCTTTTACTCAGTGTACAGAGAACATCAGTAGTTGCAGTGTTTTGGAGTTGTGCCTTGTGGGTACAAACAGTATGGAAACGTGGCAGTCGGGTAGTCAGTGGGAATGAGTGTGTCTGTAGGCAGAGTGAGTAGATGCTGTTGTGTTTTGGTGGTATAGTTTCTTTTAATTTTTACTTGGTGACTGTTAGGAAATGCAACAACCACAGACTTGATAGAATTAACATTTTCAGTAAGTATTCACCTTATTGTTTAACATGCATTAAACCTCCTGATTTCACATAAAGAAAACCAATGAAAGGGATGTGTAAATTGGATAACATTTTTTTAAAAGAAAAATATTTTACACGGAGAAAAATCTCTGCTAGTTAACACAGTGGAAGCTTTAAAAATTTTCATTAACCTGCATCAAAATCATATAGGTTTGAAATAGTCATGTAAATAAACTGAAAGATTGACTAATATTAGTGTGGTTTGTTTTTCAGGCTTTAGAAAGGATGCGTCCTTACCTGTGTGATAAAATCATAGCTGAGAGACACTTTGATTACCTACGTTCAAAGAAAATACTCACTAGAGAGGACACAGAAGAAATTTCTTCTCGATCTTCCAGTAGGAAAAAAACGGGGAAGTTATTGGACTACTTAGCAGAAAACCCAAAGGGACTGGATACTTTGGTTGAATCTATCAGACGAGAAAGAACACAAAACTTCCTGTTACAAAAGATAACTGATGTAGTCTTGAAAGTGAAAAATGAAAAACTTGAAGCCCTGAAAGGTGAGAATTTTATAATAATGTTTTCTAAGACATAGGTTTTATTTTGATGATCTGCAAAATTAAACACCAACACTTCTTTAAATCATGTTTCTTAGTACAGATTGGGGTTTTGGTTTGGTTTTTTTTTCTTCCTCTAGTTTTTGGGACAACATTCTTGGAAATATCACCAGTTTGGGTGTACAGTCCTGGTGCATGTAACCTGGCTTTGCCTTTTTGCTGTCTGAACACATCCTAAGTAACAGATTGCAAAAAAACCCTCTCATGTGTTGTTACGGGGGATGAGTCTGTCTCAGTTCAGTTTTGCTTTCTGTGAGGTTCTGATTCAGAACTCGGAATAGGTGGTTATCTTCCATCTTGTGTTTCTCTTGAAGCTATTTACTGCAGTGGCAGGATGCTCTGGTTTTGTTGATCGTTGCACCTCAGCAGAAAACAAGCCAGCAAATGCAACCTGAGGGGAGTTCTCCTGTATGCCTTCAATGCCAAAATGTAGAATGAGACACTGTAAATGTGTGTATGTGTTGCATTAGACAGGTAGAAGAGGGGTTTTTTGACACAGAAAGCTTCAAGTGACTATATGTAGTCATATTTTAAGGCAGATAAAGTATAAGCCTTCTAAACCAAAAACCTTATTTCCTCTTCCACACCCCTCAAAAGAGAAACAAAAAAGGAAGAAAGTATATTTTTAACTCTGTAGATTAAAGGTCTGAATTTTTCTCAAGCTTTAGCCTTCAAAGCAGTCCACTTTGGACTAGAACCACATAGCTGAAGCTTTTAAAAGTGTGAAAAACACAGGGAGAAAAATCTATCAAGATACAGCTCAAAAGGCTAAACTGACTTCCAAAAATAAAGCTTAAATTATGGCGCCTCTTTGCCAAATAGTAGCTGGTAGAGAGGTATTGAGAAGTTGTTCACATCGGCATAGATAACCTGCGTGTATGTTGTAATTTGTGGTGAATATTGGGATGTCACCGGTGAGATGAAGAGGTGAGTCAGTTTTCGGCGTGCAGCGTACCGTAATTAAATCCAGTGTCTGGTTTTTGTCTTAGGTCTGAGCTGCAGCACCTGTATGACCTCGCTGTGTGGAGGAACGAATAACCTCTCTAGATCCTATTCTGACGAATCTAATTTTTTTGATAAAACAAAAGACAAAGAATCTACCCAGCTACATCATCCGGAAGAAGATTACAGCACTGCCGCCTTTGTGTCTGCCGTCTCCCTTCGCTCAATGAATTTGCCAGTCGCAGAGATGGGAAGTGCGGAGTGTGCTGTTTTCTCAGCCGCCCTCCCAGGGCCTGGAGACCCCGGTGCACCCCCCCTCCCCGCGGAGCTCCAGTCAGAGCAGCAAGAGCCATGCACTAGTTCAAGTGACAATTGCTTTTTGCCTTTAAGATCACGTTCTCTTCAGCCACAGTGAACATAGTGACTTTCGTCTCTTCACCCAAATGCTACAGAAACTTGTATGATGTCTCAGAACAGTGAAAAAATGTTCTCAAACTGTTAACTGGAAAAATCAGAGGAAACAATCTATGCTATTTACTGTTTTGGGGTTTTTTTGAGGAGGTAGTTTGTGGTGGGGGTTTTAGTTGTTGTTTGGTTGGAGGTTTTTTAATGTAATTGGGTGATGCTGGAGCTGCTTGGGTTTATGTTCTTTAAGGAGCTTTTTTTCAGAAGATCATGGTGTTACACCAGCAAAAGTTTGCATTTTTAAACCAATATATTTAAGTTTTCACATTTCGTTGCAGATATTTGAGCTGCATCTTTATGTTACAGAATAAATGGGCTTTTTTTCTTCTTGCAAAAACAAACAAATCTCTTTTTCTTAATGTTTCTGTGACGGATGAATTGGGAAACATGGTTGGGAAAAGTACTGAAAAATATAAACTAAAAAGCTTAAGCTCACTTACCAAAAAGCTTAAACTCGTTTAGCAAATTAAGTGTTTCTCTGTAGGATAAATTCTGCCCTCTGTGCCTGTGTGTGCAGCTCCATTTGCAAAAATAACCCCACAAACAACAAAAAACGCCCCACACCAAACACAACCAGCAGCAAGAAAATTCTGGCCAACCTTGTAGCTGTGCTTATTTGCAAGAAGTCTCATAGTTGTCTGAACTTCGTGGTCTGTCCTACCAGTAAATCAAAGGCACTCAGAATTGCAGCGATGCGAGTTCGCAAGTATACTTCCACAAGTCTTGGCACATTATTCTTGGATATTAGTTAGAGATTTCTGATTTGAGATGCACTTTAAATATAAATTCTCATTAGTACTGGTAAAGGAATGTAAACTGCTGTAACAGCATCACGTGGGCTGTAAGTAAATGTTATTGTATAATGCTATTAAGAAGCAAAACTTGCATGTTTTGTCCCAGTAGGTAGGTAGAGGAGGAGTCCTGTAGCAAGGAAGTATCCATGCCTGAAGGACCCTTGGAAATGTTTCACTTCAGACACCTACTCTTCAGAGCAGATACAGGTTTACATTTCAAATTGTTTAGAGTCAAATGCGTTGGAAGTGACTTCAACATGGAAAGGTTCTCATTTTTTGACGTGATGTGCTGTAGTCCTCTCACACTCTGCTCTTGAGCTGTAATCTGCTTTTTCTGAAGTTGGCCTACAGCCGCTTTAAAATTACTCTGCAAAGACGAGCTCTGACTTGGAACTGCATGCAGTTGTGTTCTGCAGTACTACGCTTCAAAGGGATGGCATGTTTTAAGTGTATCACAGGGTAGGTTTGTATTTTAAGGCTTTAAATTATTTTGAGTCTCATACAGTGTTATAGCCACGTAATTCCATTCAAATGCAAACCCAGGTAATACTCCCTAAACTGTGTTCCCCTTTTGTGTACGCTGGACATCTGCAGGACCTCAGTGTAGTGACTCTTTTTTTCTTTCGTTTACTCTGGTTTTGGAAGTAGGTTAAAATTAATTGCAATGTTCAACTGCTCCATACTTAGCATATGACTAGCTTACGTTCGATAAAGATGTGGGCTTCTGTTTAGCGTTTATGAAAAGCCTTGCTTTTCTTACGTACACCTAGGATCCTGGGCTGTCAGGGTGGTGAAGATGCCTTTCAGCAAACAAAGCTGCTCGGTTCAGGAGGCAGCCTGGAAGTGAAGTGCTTAAATATACAAGGAGAGGTTTGCTCTCTAATTTGAAATTAAGGGTAGGCTTAAATCCCTCTCTTCCCTTGAACTGTACTTGCACGTACTCAGGATGTCTAAAAATTGATTTAAATGCCTGCTGCAACCACTTAGAGATGTACTTAGGTTTGGGTTCCTTCTTCGATTCTCGTAAATGGGCAAGAGCGAGCGAGCTGGGCAGTTACTGACGCAGAGCATCAGCGCAGGGTGAGGACCGCCTCGCACGTCAGCCCGCACGCGCGAGGGGAGCTGCCTGCAGGGAGCCTGCCTGGGCAGGGGTCGCTCCTGTCCCGCAGCCCATTAACCTGAGACTTCAAGTGAATGTATTCTCTCACCAAATGTTTGTAACGTGCTTTTTTTTGTTTCAAACGGAAATGTTTTTATCGCGACTTTTGGAATAAAATTCTTTCGTATAATTGCCTGTTTTCTGCCTGCCCCTCTCCTTATGAAAATGCACAGGTTGCAAGAGCAGCAGGGGAGTGTCGGGACGTGTGGGTTTGTGTGCGGGAGGCCTTTGCTTTCTCTGTCTTGTTGGAGGGGTTTGTCTTTGGTGGAAAGACTGACTGAATGTGAAACGCCTGTGCCTGTAGGACTGCAGTCAGGAGCAGCAGCTGGGGGAAACATGCGTGAAATTTAGACCTCGGCTGCTTACGCTTTCTGTAGGCCATGACTACTATTGCCAACCTGATTGTTCCTTTTTTTTTTAAATGACTCTGTTGCTCAACTTCTTAAAGATGTGAGAAGTGTTGCTTCCAGCCATGAGCATACTGACTTGGTTCTTAGTTTAAGATTTTTATTTCTTTTAATAGTGGTGGAGGAACAAAAACTTTGCATGCTGAGCAGCGTGACTCAAAAAAGGATTTGCCAATGTTGCAGGGAGCACGGAGCCTCGTTTCAGCGGTTGTTTTCATTGTACTTGTGTGCAGGGTTCCTTTCAAGACAACAGTTGCAGTACTGAGCGCGGGCTATCAGCTGGACCCAGTTCAGAATCTTTGCAAGAGAGGGACTGATCCCATTAAAACCAAAGCCCCTCCCTTAGACCTTATCCTGCTTCCTTGGTAGTTTAAGTAACCTGAACAGTGCCAGGAAGTATTTCAGCTGATGCAAAACCGGATCCATGGGCCTTGTTGATCAGAGAAGTCTAGTACAACCTTTATCCATCAGAACTGAAAAATCCGTCAACGTGCCGGCTTAAGCTGTGAGTGGGCA